AAGAATTAAATTTAGATGCCACTTTCAGTTCTGTCCCTGAACTATCGCCATGACAACCAAAAAGAACTCCTAATTTCTTACAAACATTTTTGCTTCAGGGTATTTTGAGTTAAAGTGGTTACTCAATTATTTAGAATTTCAGCAGTAAGAGAAAGTGAGAAATTAAACAATAGAAAAACATTCTTGCCATTTTACAGCCTTAGAAAGCCCTGCAGGAACAGGCTAATGATCTACTAAAACAGTGTTTGCATCTGGGTGCAACTCTGCTCAAAATCCAAAGGATCATTCTCCTTTCCACACAGCTTTCCTGTCCTCTCTCGTTCCATCAAAGAGCACTCACCCTAGCTCATTATCAAAAGCAGAGCTTGGGGCAGCATTGTGGCACAGTGGCTTAAGCTGCAGCCTGAGACACTGACATTCCATATCCGAGTGCCAGTTTGACTCCCAAGTGCTCCATTGTCAATCTACCTCTCTGCGACTGTGCCTTGGAAGGCAACGGAGGATGGCCCAAGTGCTTGGGCCTTCATCACCCACGTGGGAGACTTGAATGAAGTTCCTGGCTCCTGGCGTCAGCCTGGCCCAGCCCGGCCCAGCCCCAGCTGTTCCAGCCATGTGGGGAATGAGCTAATGGATGGAAGATCTCTTTTCCTCTCTCTGTCTGCCTTTCAGATAAAAACTAGTAGTAGTCGTAGTAGTAGTAGTAGTAGTAGTAGTAGTAGCAGCAGCAGTAGAGCTTTGGGGGTGTGATTTTTGATGGAGCAGTTAAGATACCCACATTGAATATCAGAGTGCCTGGGTTTAAGTTCTACCTCTACTCCCGTTTCTAGCTTCCTGCTAATGAGCACCTTGGGAGGTAGGAGGTGATGCCTTAAGAGGTTGGGTACCTGACACCCACATGGGAGACTTGGATTGAATTCCCAACTCTCAGCTTCAGTGTGGCCCAACCATGGCCATTGTTGGCATTTGGAGAGTAAAACAGTAGATGGTACATCAGTATCCCTCTCTACCTTTCAAATAAACAAAAAAAAAAGAATAAATTCTTTTTTTTAAGATTTTATTTATTCGAGAGGCAGAGTTACAGACAGAGAGAGGGAGAGACAGAGAGAAAGGTCTTCCACCTGCTGATTCACTTTCTAAATGGCTGCTACAGCCAGAGCTGGGCCGATCCAAAGCCAGAAGCCAGGAGCCTCCTCTGTATCTCCCACGCAGGTGCAAGAGCCCAAGCACTTGGGCCATTCTCCAATGATTTCTCAGTCTATAGCAGAAAGCTGGAATGGAAGAGGAGCCGCCAGGACTTGAACCGGTGCCCATATGGGATGCCAACACCGTATGCAGAGGCCTACCCCATTATGCCACAGCACCAGCCCCAACAAAAAATTTTAAGTTTTTTTTTTTTTATTTGAAAATCAGAGTTACACACAGAGAGAGAGAAAGAGAGGTCTTCCATCGCTGATTCACTCCCTAGTTGGCTGCAATGGCCAGGGCTGCGCGGATCTGAAGCCAGGAGCCAGGAGCTTCCTCTGGGTCTCCCATAAGAGTGCAGGGACCCAAGGACTTGGGCCATCTTCTCTGCTTTCCCAGGCCATAGTAAAGAAACGGATCAGAAGTGGAGCAGCTGGTACTCGACCCAGTGCCCATATGGGATGCCAGCACTGCAGGCGGCAGCTTTACCCACTATGCCACACTGCCGGCCCTGGCTTTTGCTGTTTTTTTTTTAATAATTTAATCCTGGAGTGCCAGGAATAATAATTCATTCTATATGGGTGCTAGTTTGAGTTCCAGCTGCTCCACTTCTGATCCAGCTCTTAACTATGGCCTGGGAAAGCAATAGAAGATGGCCCAAGTCCTTGGGTCCCTGTACCCTTATGGGAGACCCAGAGGAAGCTCCTGGCTCCTGGCTTCAGATCGGCGCAGCCCTGGCCATTGCAGCCAACTAGGGAGTGAACCAACGGTTGGAAGACCTCCCTCCCTTTCTCTCTCTCTCTCTGTGTAACTCTAACTTTCAAATAAATAAATCTTAAAAAAAAAAAAAAAAAAAAAAAAAAAAAAAAAAAAAAAAAAAAAAAACCACACAGCAAACGTGGAACTTCAGGAGCTGTGCGGGTATAACATTTCCCCCTTGTCAATTTCCCCCTTGTCATCAAAAACTATGTTGGAGGCAAAGGCTTCCTCCTTAGGCACACTTAACTGATATTGCCGAGATTACTGAAACAAGGAGCAATTGGCAAGGCAAATACTTTGTGAAATTTGTTTTAGTGCTTTGACTCATGAGTTGAAGCTCTTTATTGGTATTTACTCTGTTGCTCCAAGAGTCTATCAGTTGAGTGTTTAAGGAGAGGTCAAGCATGCAGATTCTGGCATTAGATAAAGCTCCTTAGAAACCTGATTCTTTTTCTCTCTTGCTAAAATTCTCTGTTGTTGTTTCTTGAAGGAAAATCATAGTACCATCTTTTAGGTTATCATGAGGCTTCAACGAAGTCTCTATTTAAAGCAGTTTGCTCAGTGCCCGATTCAGGTAGCTGTTAAGACTTCTTTCAGTGCACTTCAGACAGGAAGTCTTAACTGAAGATGTAAAAATCAATCGACCCAAGTCCAGGGGTGCAAAGAGCTCCTTTGCAGGAAGAAAAGAGAAAGGTCAGTCCTTTCTGGTAAAGGTGTATTTGGATGGGATTCAAAGGGTTGATAAAGTCAAGATGATGGCCTGGTGATTAAGAAGGAAATGTGTAGAGTAGATGCAGGAAGGGCTCAGAGAGGTGATTGTTCTGTAGCAGGTCTGAGTAGAATCTGAGAAACCAGGGAGACAGGCCCAAAATGCAAATATCCGTACAACGCTTCCTAGGTATGAATCATTTCAGTGAGGCAGAAAGCACAAAATGAGGTGGAGAATAGAGTTGGAGTATTAAGCCAGGCTGAGATTTCTGTTGTTTTGCTTTGTGAGTGAAAGGAGATTTGTTTTTTTCACCTTTGCTGTTTGAAGATGACCAAGAAAATATAGGCATGGGGCTGGGGTGGGGAGTGGGGGTCAGAAAATGGAGGAAAGTAGAAAAAAGTGAGAGGAAATGAAGACTGCAAAATTGGATTAATGAAACCTGGGTAATTTGAGATGGAAGCTTTGAAAATCTGACGTGTGATGTCCTGCTCATCAGTCACTAGCACCATGAGGGTGGTAGAACTAGTAATTGAACTTCTTTTCACTGTGCCTGCAAAGATCACAAGTAGCTATTGGGCCCTAAAGTTAGTTCTGTCCATTCCCGTCCTGACCAAGTCATTTAATGTCTGTGCAAATGCAGCCACCCTGCTTAATGGACATGCTTTGAAAGTGTTGAGTGTTTGAGGTAGAACAAACTCTAGACTAGAAGTGTCACGATGGTTAACTTTTACAGCTCTGTGAGCTTAGTTTCTCTATCAACAGTCTACTCTCTGGGAACAAATTAGGTACTTTGGGAATCTTCCAAAATTGTTTCCGCCCACTTGGCTCCTTTGTTATGTTCAAGAAAAAATTTACTACTATTCCCTGAAACATTTATATGTTGTATGTGTTTGTTAGAGTCCAAAACAATTACTCATGTAATTTTCATTCCCATTTTATGAATAATATAGCTGAGGCACAGAAAATGGTTGTTTAATTCATCCTAATCTCTCAGATGCCCATGTTTGTCCCACAGTTTCATACCCATGGCAAGTAAGTACACTTGCAATACAGTCAAATAGGTTGAGAAATGCCAGTTTCCTAGAACAGACTTCAAGCCCAGAGATGTGCTCAGCTTCCTAAATCCCTACGTACCCAAATATGCAGCCTGATGTCCTACCTAGGAGTGAAAGTCTGAGAAATCCTAAGCCCCCTTACATCTGTGTGGCACCTATGATAATCATCCTGACTGTATCCCAATTAGTGATCCCCACCTCTCACTTTATTATTATTGAGTTCCAGGAACTGGGCAATTGGAAATTATATAGCTGGGAAACACTTCAAATTAGACATACCTGAAACCTAGGGTGACACCAGTTGTCAAACCCCACTTCCCAGGCATTAAAATCATCAGGCCTTATTTTAAAGCTAGGAGATAAAGTAGAAGTTTTATAATACAAGTAATAGCATATCATGGGACGGTGGTTTGTAAAAACTACAGTACATCATTTCCGAGTAGCTGGAGGCCTATTTTGACCTCTTAAGGTCTATAAATATGACTTGAGAGCAGCAGTGCTGGAACTAGCTCAGGTTTCCAGGGCTCTGTCCACTATGCTCAGCGTTACATCAAGGAGAACTGCCCAGTGCGCAGGATCAAGGGGAGAGATTAAAAAGTGACCCAGAATCCTTGTGGCATATGTGGTGTCTTCTTTCTGGGGAGGGCTTCAGCCCTGCCAGTTCCCTGCACAATTGTGAGGATTTGTCTGCCTGTGCTAGCTGATTGATTAGAAGGTCTCCTTCCCTAGAAACCATTAAAAGATCATTGGCAAAAGTTTATCTTGAGGGCTCAAATAAATGGGCTCCAAGGCAGATTAGAGTATGTCATATTGATTTACAAGATGAACTGTGGGGTCTGCAGTTCAAACACCCATGAACTCTCCTAATCTGTTATTACCATTATCATCCACATTTCAGATGTACATTTAAACAGAGCTTGTTGAAATAAGAATGCTTCCCTTGACCGGCGCCATGGCTCAATAGGCTAATCCTCCACCTAGCGGCGCCAGCACACTGGGTTCTAGTCCCGGTCAGGGCGCCGGATTCTGTCCTGGTTGCCCCCCTTCCAGGCCAGCTCTCTGCTGTGGCCAGGGAGTGCAGTGGAGGATGGCCCAAGTGCTTGGGCCCTGTACCCCATGGGAGACCAGGAAAAGCACCTGGCTTCTGGCTTTGGATCAGCACGGTACGCCGGCCACAGTGTGCCGGCTGCGGTGGCCATTGGAGGGTGAACCAACGGCAAAAGGAAGACCTTTGTCTCTCTCTCTCTCACTGTCCACTCTGCCTATAAAAAAAAAATTCCCTTTTTCTTTCTCAGGTTGTGATTTCTCGAACGATACTGAACGTCCCTCATGTGAATTTTCGCCTGGATTCCCACCCTGTGTCTCCAGAAGTAGTTGTGGAGCACCCGTTAAACCAGAATGGCTACACACTGGTGGTCACAGGAAACAAGGTGAGCCCTGCTCCCATGGGAGTCTACAAAGACCTGGTTCTTCCTGTGGGGGCATTTGCAGGTGTCATGGGGCCTTTAGAATATCTCTCCTTATCTTAGACTCACTGCTCCTCCTGGATCTTCTTTCTTGACTATTCCAGAGACCTCCTGAAATCCTGTTAATTTTTCTTATTCAAGGAAGATTAGACCAAAGGGCTGTCTTTTCACATTGTGTATTTCTCCTTTTGTCCGGTATTTCTCAATGAGTAAAACAAACACAGAACGAGAAGTACAGTCCTGGTGGCAGAACTCTAGCACAGGCAGATAAATCCTGGAAATGCACATTGGAATGTGACTCTTGCCAGTAATCCCTTTTCTCTGAAAGATGTGCATCTTGTTGCCAGAATGATATGTGACCCTCCTTAGAATTTTCCAGAGGTTCAAATGTGTTTTCCCACTGCTTAAACCATACTCTTGTTATTTTAAAATCGTCTCAGACATGGCAAAATATTCCTACTATATACGGCCTGTAACATTGCATGACAAGGCTTGTGTTCTCTGGACAGTAATGTTACATGTTATCATTTATGTGCCAATAATAAAAGGAAGGAGGAAATTTTATTTTTAACATTTTAATCACTTAATGATGATTATATGATTAAATGACTTACACAATTGCTATCCCTAGTAGACTCCATCAAATTATGGATTTTTTACAAAACAAAAACCCATCTAGAAATTCTTTCTGTATCACTATTAGGTTTTTTTGTTTGCTTGCTTTAAATAAATGCTATTCGCCCTTTAATATGTTTTTAAGAGGCGGAAAGATGGATGGACAGAGGAGAGAGAGTCCACATCTGCTAGTTCACACCCCAAATATTCCAACAGCCAGTACTAGGCTAGGGCTGATGCTAAGAGCCAGGAACTCAGTCCAGACCTCCTACATGGGTGGCAGGGACTCAATTAACTTGATCCATCACCTGCTGCCTTCCAGGGTCCACATTGGCAGAAAGCTGGATTCTGGAGCTGGAGCCAGGAGCCAGGAGCCAAAGCCAGGCACTCTGATGTGAGATGCAGGTGTCTGAACTGCTAGACTAACCAGCACACTCTGTCTTTTCTTCACAGATTACCAAAATCCCATTGAATGGGTTGGGCTGTGGACATTTCCAGTCCTGCAGTCAGTGTCCTCTCCGCCCCTCCCTTTGTGCAATGTGGCTGGTGCCATGACAAGTGTTTGCCGTCAGAGGAATGCCCCGCGGGACGTGGACTCAAGAGATCTGTCTGCCTGCAATCTACAAGGTAGGAGTCTCTGTTGGCTGTTATGATTTTTTTTCTGTTTTTTTTGCCAAACACAGATCACTAAAATAAAATCCAGAGGGCCAGTGTTGTGGCATAGCAAGTTAAGCCTCTGCCTCTATGAAGATGGCATCCCATATTGGAGCACCAATTGTTGTGCTTCCAATCCAGCTCCCTGCTAATGCCTGGGAAGGCAGCAGAAGAGGGCCCAAGTGCCTGGGCTTCTGCCACACCTGGGAGACCCAGATGGAGTTCTGTGCTCTTAGCTTTGGCCTGGACCACTTCAGGCCATTGAGGGGAGTGAACCAGCAGATGGGAGATATGTCTGTCTGTCTCTCCCCCGCCCCACCCCGCCACTGATAACTGCCTTTCATATATAAATAAAACTTTTTTAAAAAAAGCCCAAAATCAATGTACTCATTTACCAGTGAGAAGTCAGCTGAAGTTCCCTCTCCCTCCGGGGGTTATTCCGTGGGTGGCACCTGACGTGCCTGCACCTGAAGCTCTTGCCCACACTCTTTCTTAGGGCAGCTTTCCTCCCACGGTGCTGTGTGAATAAAAGACTGGTGGCCAAGGAGCAGTGGTGGTCCCCTTTTCCTCACACTGGGACCTGTTCTGTCCCGACTCACCCATTCTCTGACTCCTCACCACCTGCTATACACTGCCAAGTGCCCAGACATGACCTCGGCCACAGAAACAGATGTGCTCTTGGCCTGCTCTGGAATGCTAAGCTGCAGCCTACACACTGACAGTCCCGGTCATGCTGAGACAGACAGGACAGAGGGTTTCTTCGTTTCTGGGCACAAGGCATGGCCTTGTCTCAGCACAAATAAGACCAGAGGTTATTCTCAGAGGTGAACTGGGGAGCAGGTGGAGGGACAAGCTCCCATGACAGGCTGTAAGTCTTCCCTCAATGTTTCTGGAAAGAAATAAGGCTGAAGTGGTAACTAGCCTACAGCTATACTGTTTTAAAAGGCATTCCATTCTTAAATTCATTCCAAAAATATTTATTGAGTTGCATAGCTTGTAGACACTGGGAAGGTACCATCCTATACAGACAAACAGGCCATCCTGCTGTTAGAGAGCTTAGCTTCTGAAGGTACACATCACCGTGACATCACAACCATGTTGTCTAACTCACTTCCTTATTCAGTAGCAAGTATAGAAGGGTATTGCACAATGTTCATTGAAAAAAAAATGAAATTAGAAGACCAAATTATGTTTGATACAAAAAAAATCTTGTAATCCATGCAAATTTTTTCCATAATGCTCACTTTTGAAGACCTTGCCTATGCGTGAATTTCAAAAGATTTTTGGCACAAAGTAAATTTCTTTTAATTCTATTTTCCATAGAATGTTTTGAAGTACTCATATATTTGGCACTGTGACATCTCCATGGCAGTGCTTTACATTTCTTGATCCAAATACATTTTGCTTGAAACACTTCCTGGTGAGGACACAGTATGTGTTTTCTCTTCCCAAATGTGAAACAGTTGGACTTTAGTAAATGGTTCGTGTGAAAGAGTTAAGTTCAAGGTCTCAGTCTCGCTGGTTCATGCCCAAGTAAACAAAAGTGTGCAAGGCAGCTCAAAAACCACCCCCAAGCTCATGGCTGTTTTCGTTTAGTTACGGTTGGGGACAGGATTTGTAGTGGGTGACTGGGTTTTAAACCAAATCCTTTCCTGTTAGGTGTGACACAGGGCCTTAGAATAACCAAATGAGAGTAAGAAAATAAATTTAAGTCTCTACTATAGTTTTTATACACTTTTTTGTTATTCAGTCTACCTTAAAATCAGAAGCCATTGTATACTTTTCTAAACACAGAGCCTTGAAAATTGGAGTCACTAGAAATATAAACTTAGCCACTCTGTGAAAGAGATGTGGAGAGGGTGTGTGGCATACACAATTCAATCACAGTGTGTTCATTTTAAAAATAGCCAGGTTGTAAGTAGAGAAAGGTTTTTTTAAGTAGAGAATGTAGATTGATGGCCCTGTACAAATGAAGCATCTAACTTTGACCAATGTGCTTCCTTTTACTAATCAAGAACACTACACTAAACTGGTTAAAACTGAGTAAATATTTTAGAGTGTTCTGGAACCAAAGATTCTCCCATAATGTTTAAATAGCCCTCCTCTCTCCCTCTTCTGGTCCCAGTACTGTGTAGCTGGTGATTTTAAAAGCTTGCATTGTATCATGCAGATGTCAGACAGGCATGGGCTGTAGGGTTGGAAGGAGAGTAGTGCAGCTGAGTCCATAAATCCCTTTCAGTTATAGAATGTTAGGCAAGATTTCCATGCTGCACTAGACCGTGAACATTTAGCCTTCTTACTGCAAAAAAGTAAGACTGGACTATTCATCTTTTCTTAATCTGTCTTAAATGCTACATGCACAAAATCCAGCTAATGTATAGAGTTTCACTTTCCAATACATGAAGTTAAACCTGCGTTTCAAGGTACAGGATGTTCAGAGGCCCAACTCCTTCGCAGTCCCACATAGGAAGTTTTCAAGGTTGGAAGCCCTTTATTTGTTTCAAATCTGTCACCTGAGCTCAGACTTAAGAGCAATGAGAAATGCTTTGGAAGAAGAAGAGTACTTTCCAATGTATTCTGAATTTATTAGGCTAATTTGTCTTAATAGCACTAAATCCAGTCCCATTGAGACGATAAAACATTATTAATTGATCAGAAGACTCAGCTAAAAAACAATTGCAATATCTTTGGGCAGTGGTGGTAGGCAGGCAAATTCACTGCCTATTAGAAAAGAAGCCTACTACTGAGAATTTTAATTTTCAAAAAATTTTGATCCGGGGGAGGGAGGATATCTTCTTTATGTTTTATTAAAAGATTTTTTGAAAACTTAAAATACAGTTGTGGGGTGTGGCATTTAAGATGCCACTGGGGCCGGCGCCGCGGCTCACTAGGCTAATCCTCCACCTTGCAGCGCCGGCACAACCGGGTTCTAGTCCCGTAGGTGCCGGATTCTGTCCCGTTGCCCCTCTTCCAGGCCAACTCTGCTGTGGCCAGGGAGGCAGTGGAGGATGGCCCAAGTGCTTGGGCCCTGCACCCCATGGGAGACCAGGAGAAGCACTGCTCCTGGCTTCGGATCAACGTGGTGCGCCGGCCCAACACGCCGGCCGTGGCGGCCATTGGGGGTGAACCAATGGCAAAAGGAAGACCTTTCTCTCTGTCTCTCTCACTGTCCACTCTACCTGTCAAAAAAAAAAAAAAAAAAAAAAAAGAAAGATGCCACTGGGACACCAGCTCAGAGTGTCTAGTTCAATTCCTACGTTCACTTCCAATCTAGTTTCCTGCTAATGTGCACTTTGGAGGCAGCAGATGATGGCTCAAGTACTTGAGTCCCTGTCACCCGTGTAGGAGACCTCAACTGAGTTCTGGGCTCCTGGCTTCAGCTTTGGTGTTTTGGCATTTGGAGAGTGAACCTGAATGGAAATCAATCAATCTCTCTTCT